AGGATCTCCAAGATTCATCAAGCATCCACCAGGTTCAGGAAATTCCTTCAATATCTTGACTCTCTTCCAATTTTCCTTGTCATTATTTATCCCACTCATTTTATTATTTTTTCTTTTCTTAGTTCGAGAGATCTCGCCGGCTTCAAGAGGACCAACAAGAGGACCAACAAGAGGACCATCAAGAGGACCACCATCTTCGCCGGACTGCCCCTAGCTCCAGGAATAAGTTATTTTAATTATTTCATTTCACTTTTCTTTGCCTTTGCCTTTTTTTGCTTTTTTGAGATATTCGTCATAACGTGTGATTTAAATTTTAAATGACTGGGATCGAGGCTGACACCCGATGTTAGTTTAATATGTTTTGTGCAATTTTCATTTTTTATGTATGTGTTTATGTTGTGATTGTGACCCTCCCTTTTTTTCCGTGCTTGTATGTTCTACATATTTATTTGAAAGTGTTGTTGTCTTCCATTTATTGTGATTTGTCCTAATTTTTTAATCGTGTCCTTTTCCCCTAACCATTCTAATTTCCTTCCTTCCCTGCAGTTTTTCCCCTCAAATTATTGACCCTTGATATTTTGAACTAATGCTCTCATGTCTTCTTTCGTCCATTTAGAAGGGAGATCTCATCCATAGGAACCCCCCGTTTCTTGAAGCACTCACCACGGTCAGCAGATTCTCCCCAATGTCCTCGCTTTCTTCCCATCCTAGTAATTATCATTTCCCCTCATTATTATTTTCATTTATTTTCTCAGTTCGAGAGATCTCGCCGCCTTCAAGAGGACCTTCAAGAGGACATTCAAGAGGACCTTCAGGAGGACCACCCATCCCCACATTTTGAACTAATGCTCTCATGTCTTCTTTCCTCCATTTAGAAGGGAGATCTCATCCATAGGAACCCCCCGTTTCATGAAGCACTCACCACGGTCAGCAGAATCCCCCAATGTCTTCACATTCTTCCCTATTAATTATCATTTCCCCTTATTATTATTTTCATTTATTTTCTCAGTTCGAGAGATCTCGCCGCCTTCAAGAGGACCTTCAAGAGGACATTCAAGAGGACCTTCAGGAGGACCACCCATCCCCTGTAACAAGGTTTTACTTAATTAATTCAATTCAAAGTCCCATTCTTTCCCTTTTTTTGAGTTTGTGATGCTGTGTTTTTTGAGTGACTGGGTACAGGGGCAGAAACTGTTGCTTAATTTAATGTTTTGTGTTAATGTTCCTTTTTTCTTAAGTATGCTTTTGCTTTGTCTTTGTCCCTTTCATTTTCTTCTATTGCATTCTTCATTTTGCTTTGCCTTTGTTATTCTTGTTACTAATATGTTGCTGCCTTCC